GAAGTCTTACACAGACCTGTGTCAGAGGTAAAAAACTACCTGTTTATCTCAAATTGCCCATGGGGGCTCCTGTGTTTATGAGAAACCCATCCAGAAGCAGAGATGCAACTGCAATAGCGCTCAGGTAACACCTACACAGCAATCCAATTATGCCATGCTTTCAGAGCCTCAGATCTGTCAGGTGTCCGTACCTCTGGCAGCACAGCTCCTGCCATGGTGACAGTGGGAGGCAGAACAGCCAGAGCCAGATGGTACTTTTGATCCAGAAGATTTCAATGTGACAGGATTTAGTAAATGAAAACTCAGCCAAGAGTCATCAGGAGGGAGATTATTTGACAGAGGAGATAGACCGTCCCCTATATCAGCTTGCTCTTTAACTGGATACTTTGGTTCTCTTCTGTTTTCTTAGGGAATAAATACCACATAGGAAGAAAGACTTGTGCAGGGAAGGGCAACACATTACAAATGTTTGCTGAACCAAACATACATTTGGCCAAGATCCTGCCAAATTGAGCAGGTTTTTGATGTCACCTGTAAGTAGATAACTAGCCTGAACAGACTTGAAAATATCTCAGGCAGAATCCCAGTTTCAAACAAGCCATAGAAACATGCCAGCTTCCAGTATGTCACATTCTGCTTTTCTGGGATAGGCAAAATTGAGCATTGAAAAAAATTACATTTCTTGGATTTTCCATCCTCCTGTTCAAAACATGTGCACTAGGGTCAAATATTGACTGCACAATCAGTATTTAACTTCAAATGAAGTAGAAAGTGTTACATAGTTAGATACAGACTAGTGAAATGTAGGTAGTGTGTAGGTAATAATCGGTTTTAAAAGCAGAAGAAAATTTGTACAATAGATGTTGCTTTCCTGATGGATTTTTAAAAATCTTTTATACTTTTAAACCAATAGCAAGTAAAATATCCAGTAGTCTCTGGGAGGGGAGGATCATGTGACTAATGGGCAAACCCCATCGAGCCAGCTTACAAGACAGACTTTGAATTTTTGGCAACAGAGGTGTGTAGCCCTAGATTGGAACCAAACCTTTTCTGCCAACGTTAGTGAATAGTACTAAAAGTTCATGCAAAATAGGACAAGTTAGACCCTTGACATTTTTCTCACAACTGTTGCTTTTCAAATCACTGCCTTTGCATGCAAAAGTTTGTTAGATTCATCCATTATGCATGTCCTAGAAATTTGATAAAGATCTCATAGGTCTTCTAAGAAGCTAAAGCCAGCTGCAGTACCTAATTGTAAAGACATGGTTACTGGCTTGCAATGTTGTTAAGTGTATTTGATATTCCTCTGACTTGAATCTTTTGGGTAAGAATTTAAAAATGCTGGTCCTCTCTGATTTTAGTGAACATTAATGACAGCTCACAATTATTCATGAAAAAAAAAGGTTTAAAGGGTTGTTAGGTCCTCTAGTAAAGATTTCATCTTTCTAGTGGTAACAAATGTGTTACAGAAGACATTACATAGAAGTAACTGTGTAACAAAGATTTGTGCCTGCCTTTTTGAGACATATTTTAGGAATATAACTTACTTCATCTAACCCGTGAGTCTGCCAGACTGTGCTCTGCCTGGAGTTGTTCTGTGGGGTTTTTTTCTGTTATTTCTAGAAGAAGGGTCAGCAATATCTATGGCTTTGTTTTAATCACATTTGATGAATTGCACTTTTCTGTGACATTTTCACCTACTACTGTATTAGATTAGTGGTTCATTAAGAACTCAGGTGAAGGTGATGTCACCAACATCTGTCTTCCAGCATCTGGATTGCCTGGTTATCCCATCAAGTATGGTATGAATAAGCCAGTTCAAAGTAGGATGACACCTGAAATGTGTATGATCAACCTAGATAAATATTGTTAAATATTAAGCTGTGTTAAATATTGTCATTAGTATTTATTAATAGTTAAATAATGCCATTAGTATTACTACTACCTAGTTCTGTGTGACTTCACCAACAAGCTACACAAATCTTTGTAGAAGTATGCTTTCTTGTGATACAGATGCTACTGATGAAGTTTCCTTATTGATTTCTGTTCACACAAAAAGGGTTCAAAATAGAGTGAGATTAAAAAATGGAGGCCTTGCCCTGGTTTATATTGCCTTCCTTTATGACAGATTTAATTGGAAATCTAACGGGAAATTAGACTGGAAGAATGCCAGCTGCATGGCTGGCATGCCATGAAAGATCAAGTATCTGTGTCTTTCACACTGCACATCAAAGCAGATTTATCAGTTATCTGGGATTTCTTGTGAGTTTTAGGATATCAAATATGGTATCAACAGCTTCAGCAGCAAAAATATTTGGAAGTACATAGGGTAGAAAAGCTATGCAAGTTTTCCTAGGGAGTTTGAAAATTGAGGATGAAGAGTTTTCTATTTGTATCTTAATGTGAAAAAGGAAAAGGCTACAAAAGCTAAACCATCCCTAAACACAGCCCTACTGACTGTTCATTTCCTAAGGATCTTTCCAAAGAAGCATTTAGAAGGATTGCTTTTTCAGGGCTGGCCTCTAGAGCATTTCATCATGTCAGCCACACGTTCCACAGGAGTAAAACTAATGGCAACGTATCTCTTACAGAAGTCCTCTTTGGATTTTGCCAGTTTACCTTACCTGGTACACAGGGTGTCTCCAGGGAAGATTACTCAGAAGCTATCTACTTGGCTGTCATTTGTTCATTCAAAAGAGATCAGTAAAACCAGAGAGCAAGAGAAAGAGGAGTGCTCAAGTCTTTCTGTCTGTCCTACTTAGATGGAAAAACTTAGTTACCCTGGGGCCAGAGTCATATGGAGCTGTTTTCATTGGCATGAGGTCCGTGCTAGGCAAAGATTTCTCTCTGCAGAGGAATCATAGTGCCATGCCTTTTGAGAAAAAGTTGTTTCTTAAAGCCATGTTTATCCTATGACCTTGTCAGAAGTGGATTACCATCCTCCACAGACTCTGGTATTCTGTAGTTGTACAAAGCAGGAAGAAAGCACTTGTGCTTGTGAAACTGCTGAAAATAATTCAGCTGTTTACCTGTGATGTGAAGTTTTTAAACGAGCCTGCCTGATATGGGTTAGCCGTTTCTTTTTAAATTGAAGCTGCCAGAAATATTTCATTCTTGACAGATGAAAAAAGAGGGGAAGAGCCATGATCAAGGAACATTTTATTTGGCATAATTTGAGGTTATTTGTCTATTACTGGCAACAGCAATTGGGAGATTAGGCATCTTTTTAGCAAGTTTAAATTAGAAGATCGTAACTCTGTATACACCTTGAAACTGATTACTTCACCATCACAAGTATCATCACAAAAGACAACTACACTTGACCATTCATTTCAGAGGCCACAGTCTTTCACAAATTGTTTGAGTACACTTTTGTGCACAGCAGATTTAATATAATTTTAACTGATATCAATGCAATAGATGGAATTATCTGTATCCCAGGAAAAGTTACACACAACAGCTGCAGCTATTCCATATCTAACACATGGTGTTTTCAGGAAGGAACAAACTGGAGCAAGACAGATGAAAACATTTGGAGCTTCAGGCATTCAGGTCAGAGCACATTAAAAGAGAGAGATCTGGCAGACATCAAAGGTGGAGAAGTTGGTATTTTCTACAGCTTTTTGCTCTGTTGACAGTGCAGCTTTAGTCTCAAAAATTAAGAATGTCTTATAGAAAGAGTGGAAAAGAACAGTGGACTCATTTCTACTTCAGGGACACAGGTTCTTTTCAAGTCAGTAGGAGTTGCTTGCTTGTATGATCTTTGCAAGGGCAAATAAAGTCAAATAACTGCAATAAAAAGCTCATGCTTGCATTTGAAATGGAAGGACTTCGCCACAATTACCTGATGATACTCTAGCTGGTTTGTTCATTCAGATAAAGTGGTATTTGAACTGTGTAAGTGTCAGTGAGGTTTGGGTAGTGGCTTGGCGAGATGTTCCTGGTTGGCCTCATTGCCATGGCCCTGTCAACACACATCAGCTGTAAGCCATAGGAATTAAACTTGTTAAAACGAATCATATTTCATCCTTCATGCTTTTTGAATCTAATATTGTTTTAACAGTTTGCTGGGTGTACCAGATGATTGATGCTGTCACACTGCGGATAAATCTATCATTCTGTCATTTTTATTCAATACTTTAGAAGTATTTTTGTTCAAGCTGGAATCTGAAGGAATGTTACACATCTTTTTTACAGCTCACCTTAGTTATAAAAAATAATCCATCTAATTCTCAGTGATTAATTGGCAGACATTTCCTAAACAAAGACCTAGAATAAATTAGTAAGTTAATTGTTCCTGAATATGTCTTGAAATGTGCTGTAGTTAGTTTTCAATTTCCTGCAAGGGGATATCAATGAATATGGTATCAGATACAAACACACAAATTTGCATATATACAAATATGTATTTGTCAACTACTTGAAAGGAGATCAGTTGTGTTTAATCACACGCATATTTGGCCTCCTTAAAAAATGAAAGTCATAGACTAATATATGGTATTTGCAATAATTACATGGGATGTTGTGAAAAGCTTGTTGCATGGAAAAAAAAATTTTAGCTCCTCAGCTTTGAGTGTATGTCAGAGCTTTTGCCTGGAAAGATGAGCTGCAAGGACTATGCTCTGTTGAAATCATGGCTGAAACCTCAGAGCAGTATTTCAGTGGCATTTCAGTATTTCATGACTATTAACAGGTCATAAAATTACTCTAAAAAGAAAGAGACTGACTTCTGGTGTGGCAGAAGTTCCATTATATACTTCAGAAATAGACACTTACCTTATCTTTGAGTCTACTAGACTTGAATTTAGTCTATATTAAATTATTTTGCCTGTGTCACAGGTCACAAGTTACTGCTGCTGAATCCAAAGAAATAAAGTCCAACTTGGGGTGAAAACAATGACAGCTAAACTTGTTTGTTCCTTCAGAAACCAGCTGCAGGAGATTGTGTTTGGTAGCCCTCCACATGCACTCCATCATTTGCTCTTTCTGTGTTTCAACAGGCATTGAACAGGGGCATTGCTGCTGTCAAGGAAGATGCTGTGGAAATGTTGGCCAGCTATGGGCTGGCATACTCCCTGATGAAGTTCTTCACGGGTCCGATGAGTGACTTCAAAAATGTAGGTCTGGTGTTTGTGAACAGCAAGAGAGACAGGACCAAAGCAGTTTTGTGCATGGTTGTGGCTGGCGCTGTAGCTGCTGTATTTCATACTTTAATAGGTAAGGTCACTTCACGTCTAGTTAATATGACTTTTAATTTGTTTCCCTCACCCATTCTTCAAACTGCTTAAGCTGTAGGCTTAAGATTTCATTTGTAAGTACAACAGGAGATGCAGAAGAGATGAGCTCTCTTGGGCTGGTATCTTGCCCATCCACTCAATTTTTATTGCTTTTTAAACAGGTTATTAAGGAGCAGATTCCAAGCACAGGGCTCTCCTGCCTGGAAACAAAACATGCTACTGATCTCTTTCAGTCAGGTGTGTGAGCAAAGCTTTGACAAGGTTGACAGGTAGCTCAGTGTACTGTGAGGTATTAATGATCAGCTAGCAGTATCTGCTGGGTTGGTTTGGCAGGCCTTCAAGGTGTGCTTGGTATGGCTGTTTGTCAGTTCTTGGTGGCATTGTTGGTGTACTCCTTCTGTATGCATTCCTTTACTTCTTATCTCACAGTACAAAACTCCCAGCAGGCAGGAACCACATCTACTGCTGCTAGGTATCATCCACTTCTGTTGGATAATTAATCTGTGAGGAAGAGGTTAGTAAGAGCAATTTATACCAAACTGAGACCAGCTCCCTGAGCGTACTCTGAAACAAAGAAAATACACAAGCAGACACAAAATGAACATTAAAAAAGGCAGCCACAGGATTTGCCAGTTTTTGAGAGCCTACAAAAACAGGAAATTGGCTCAAGCATCAGCCACAGCAATGAAAACCATTTAATTTGGAAGACTTTTAAGTTCATCCTCTTCAAGAACTCCACGAGATTCTCTGCACCTTCTGGCTCCTTCTACAGAGCTGAAACCTCTGGACCATAGCAACGGGGAACAGGAGATTCTGGAGGAAGAAGCAGAGAGTGCACTGCGTTGAGCAGGTAAAATCCTAAAAAGCTGAGAATTGTAAGGGATGGGAGGGAGGAGGTAATTGTGACAGCCTATGGAGGCATGTGTTGGCTGAGAGGCATTGACTTGGATCAGCACCAGTAGGGTGTCATTCCATCACAGAAAAATGGGAAATGCTTGTGTAATGGCAGTATCCTGAATCGCTGTGGAATCTCAGAGGGGCCTCAAAGGGAGCATTCATTATCAGGCTGTTAGAATCTCAAGAGCAACATGTGCTGCAATACATCATATGGAATGGAATAGAAGAGAATAGAATAGAATAGAGTAGGATTATTTCAGTTAGGTAGGTACAAGATCCATCTGGTAAATACAAATGCCCTCACCTCTTACCATTTTATTGTCTGCCAGCTATATTCACCAGCTCTATGTGCCTCCCAAGCACTACAGTTTGTTTTGACCATCATATCTCTTATTCCACCACTGGTATGCAAGCCCTGTGCCATTTAGCTTTGCTCCATGTTGCAGTCATAAAAAATGCTTAGAGTTATGGCTCACTAGCCAGGGCAACTGTGTGCCTGGGATTAGATCTTGCTAATTTTATAAACTGAATCCATGCATTCAAGTTAATATAATTCACTGATTTCGATTGGTCACTTCTTAAACATGTTTACATTTGAAGCTGTTTTATTGAGTCAGTGTTATAAATTTCAGCCCATTTGTACATTTGGCTCTCATATTTCTTTGCTTGGAATGTTTCTTCATCCCTCAGAGCTGCTTTTCTGGTTGCTCACTTGCTTTTCTGCCAGTGCTGGTCAAGGTTTTTGGCTTTGCCAGCTGGATAAAAAGTTATTTTCTAGTCATACAGTATTTTATTTTAAGCTAGAATAGATTTTAAGGAAGTTTTAAGTATAACTATCAGATTTCCAGGTGAAAGACATAACTGGATTTTCCATGTGGGACGTCTTTTGAAAGGAGGTGTTTGGAACAACAGTTGGAAAACCTGTCAGCTAAATTTCTTGCCTTTGCCTGGAAGTAGAGCCCTGCTGAGTTCAGAACCTCTGAAATGCACTCTGCAGACACTGGGCAAAAAAGGAGGCTATGCTTACCATTCTTTAAAGTTTTGAGTTAAAGAGCTGCACACAATCTTCCAGCTTTTTATGGTGACAGACTGCAAAATATTTTTTGGTATTTTAACTTGTCTATGCCTGAAAATATGCAAAGGCCACAGCAGAGACTGGCAGAGCGCCTGAGGGAATGGAGTTAGTCAGATTCTAGCACCAATTGCCTGGGTGATGTTGCCAAATTTTATGTTCCAAGTTTCCTTTGAACTTGTTTCAAGTCCTGATTATTTTGCTCTGACCCACAGATACACAGCCTGCCTAGCAGGAAGAAAGAAGGAGTCCAGTGACAGGCGGCCTCCTAGGACCTGCAAGCGCTCCCCAGCAGCTGCTAGCCTGTCACAGGCTATCCATGAGAGACACAATACAGGTCACTGGTGCTTGGTGGATGAAAAAGAGAAACAAATAACACTTAGGGGATTGAATTTTTTTCCACATGCCATAAATATAGGACTAAGGAAGATGACATGTCTATCTGCCATGGACTGTCAAAGCCCAGGAAGAAACAGAAAACAAAAAGCCCAATGAAATAAGGAGTACAAAAAGAAAGAAAACAAGTGGTGGTAGAAACACAGTGGCCACGATGAATCACCACATTTCCAACTGTGATAGAGACTATTTGCAGTCTACACACACAGCTCCTCACAAAGAGTGGCCTCTACTCATGGAAAATATCAAACCAGACTGTTTCACCCAGCTGACTCATGCTTCATTGCTTCAGCACCAGCTTCCCACTGCTGCTTCCCCACTGGGGCTCACACAATCGTCTGCCAGTGACTGGCTGTGCTAAACCACTTGAACTCACAGCTGCAAGCTCTGGGTCCCTCAGTCATCACCCAGCCACATCCTTATGAAGGTCTGCAAAGTCCTCACCAGCAGCTCCTGTCACTCCCCTGTACAGGTAGCGGTAACAACTGAGAACCAAGTTGGCCAAAGGGATTCAAAACCATGTTCTCATCCTACTTCCAATGCTGCTGTAAACCTTGTCAGTACAGTATTCCTGGACTGGCTGTTTCAGGCGTAATCTGGAAATAGAATATAATATTCTGCCTTCCTTTCCCTGGGCTACTGTGAGGGCAGCTACTGCCACCAATTCATCTCCTGGTGGGAAAGTCACTATGGAGCCAGGGTCTAAAGTGTACTGTTATTTCAGAGACTGGCTTTTTGGTGGCTGTAAGAGAAGGGATTCAAGATGCTAAGCCTGTCTCTACATAGTTTTGACATCTTACTAAATTGCCAATTGACAGAGGAGAAAAGTCATTTATATAACATTATGCTAACATAATGCATTTCTTAGTGTTGCTGGTAAGCCCTCCATACTAAGTGAGCCTTTTAATATGAGTGTCGTGAAGAATATGCACATTTTCCTTGGCAATAAAACAGCATTGTTCAACTTTTCACCAGTTTACTGAGAAATAGTATACTGAGAAAGTTTATTTCCTTTTGAATAATTCTCAGTAGTTCCAGAAATGACAGGGCAGCAGTTACTTTGAGGAAATACCCTCTTTGCTCTTTACTATCTCTGATTAAAAATGACACAATGGATCATTGTCATCACCAGGAGAAAAAGAGTGGAACTTCAGTGACCAGTAAACTTAAGTGTAGGTTAATTTTTGCAGTAATCTATAGCAGATTGGATGGCCAAGACACGTGAGTGATTTGTTTTGTGCCCATTTATTGCTGTCAGGCTGCTGAGCGTGGGCCATAGATTGCACAGGGGAACTTCAGCAGTTCCTGGCAATTCCGCTGATGCTTTTGAACTTCCCACTCGCATGATCACTGCATGTACATTAAAAATCTCCATAGGAATTGAGACATAGGTGTAATCCCACCAATTCCAGTGTAACACTACTGGAATTTTCCAGAGACTAGGAATTACAGAGTGAGTTGCAACAAGCTGAGGTATTTTTTTTAGTCAGTCTTGTTCCGACAAGATCACTGTATTGTGGTATACTAAACGTTTTGCCCTGGAAAAAAGGGACAGCACAGGAACACAAATCAGAATATATATGGGCTTGCTGCTTTCTCCATCCCTCTCCTCTCTAAATAAAAATAAAATGTTATTCATTAGAAATTTTCCTACTTCAGCATGGTCATTGCTAAAGCAGTAATATGCTTCTCTGGCTGCCCCAACCCTTTTCCCACAACAGGGGCAGTTTCTTTTAAACAAGGTACTCAGGACAAAGGAAGAAAGCCTATGACCAAAGCACTTTTGGATAGCAGTGATTGTGTCTCGATTGAAATAGGATCATTTTGAGACTTACAAAATGTTAGCTTATATGAAGATATTTCAGATACTAAAAGTCATTCATAGATTTGGGAAATGTGATTGTAGTAGTCAGTCTTCACTGAGATGCTCCTAAGCTGTTTTGGTTTTCTTTAATTCATGTATTACTATAAGTAAAGAAAAAAATCTCAACACCTTAAACACTCATCTGAGCTTTCACATGGGGAAACAGGGGCTTTCTCTTCTGTTTTAAATTCAAGCTAACCAAAGACATAAAGAAATCTGTATACACTGTGGCATCTCCAAATGAAGATTTGCTTTTGTTTTTTAACACTGGTATTTTCCTATCTGCCCAAATCACTTAGTTGAACAAATTAGCTCAGTGCATTAAGCATGGTGCTAATAACACCAAGGTTGTGGGTTTGGTCCCTGTACAGGCCATTCACTTAAGAGTTGGACTTTTTGGTTCTTGTGTGTCTGTTTCAACTCAGAATTTTCTGTGACTGAGAAACTGATGAGCACCAGTTTTGGCCATGTTTCTGACAAGCAGCATAATAGATTTGTTACTTCTCAAGTCTCCAAGTTAATTTTTAAAACTGGCAGCAAAGTATGTAAATGGAATGTATCTAGAAAGAAAACACTTTAGCCCAAAATAATGTTTTGGATTTTTTTCTTCTGGTAAAGCTATTTTTGACATATGTAGCTCCATGTCTGGAAGTAAATGGTGTCACTTCCTCTGAGAGTTTTTTCTTTGTGATTTAAGTATAACAGGCTCAGTAGCAGTCAGCTCCAAAATAACTACAGTACAGGTATTTGTCTGAGATTGCTGGCATCATTATGAGTGTGTTATTTTAAGGGTGTCTGAAGTTTGTATGGTAGTAATTGGCTTGCTAGAGAAATTGGTGTAGACTCCAGGAGGTCCAATTAGTTGTACAGTTTTCAGTGTCATTTCTTGACCTTCTGGGTCTTAAAACTCGACTGGAAAAACCAAAAGCAAGAATTTCTGCTTAGCTTCTGTAGCAAATCTGATCCTTAGACATAGCAAAACAAATGAGGTATTGGAGAAGAGCAAACAGGCAGCTTGTCTTGAACTTCTCTGTTTTAGTTGAAATGATGCAAGAAGTGGGAAGTGCCATCTGCTTTAGATTCATGTAATACTCTCTGGCTCTGTTGTCAGTGTTATTAATTTTTACCATTCTTCATAATAAGTTTGTAAGGTTGGCCAAGGTTAAGTTCTAATTGCATCAGCAATTGCTTGATTCACAACTCAGTGACACATGCCTGTATGTTTGTCAGTGAATCTCAGGAATTGAGACATAGGTGTAATCCCACCAATTCCAGTGTAACACTACTGGAATTTTCCAGAGACTAGGAATTAGAGTGGGTTATGAGAGTTGTGAGGACAGAAATATTCATGGACATCAGCAAAAGTGATTGTGTGCTTTCACTGACATATGAAATAGTTGACTATTTTGAAAATAACGTTTTAAGTTTAACCATTATGAATTTAAAACCAAAATCACATTAAAAAGTGAAGTTAAACTTTTTTTGATGGGGAGCTTACAGAGCTCGCTGCTGATATCCCTAGAAACCTTAAAAATGTGGTGCTATGAGTTGTAATGGTATAAGTGCCTTGAGAGTGGCCTGCCAATAAACTATGACTCTTTCTTAAAAGTAAGAGTAATTCAGCCTCTGACGCTCTGATTCTGTGATTTTTTCTTTGTAATAGTAAATTTTAGGTTAAAAAAAAAAAAAAAAAAAAAAGAAAGAAAAAAACCACAATGGCCTTTAAAGAAAAAAAAGTTACTTATTACTCACATTCTAAACACTTTAGAAGTCTCACTTAAAACAGATGAAGGACAGGGAGAGCAGGGAATGATGACTTCTGCAGCGTGCTTTGCTTCTGGCACTGCACTGCTGGAGGTGGCCCCTCCACAGAAGCAGGTTCCTCAGCCTGTGGACTACAATTCTCAGTCCCTGTGTGGAGGATAAGATGGTGTGTTACCGTTTTTGTGTAGAAGTGTAAAGCACACTCAATGGAACCTAAGAAAAAAGTTCCATGAATCTGGCCTTCCCACATGGCTTGCCTCACAGACCTTTCAGGTTTCTTCCCTTCATTGAAATAAGTTGATTCAGGAGCATCCATGTACTGCCCTGCCATAAAAGCAGCTTTCCACAAGGACTTAGCACACAAAAATCCCTTCATAGCTGAGAGTTTTCAAAACACCAAGTGAAGATTGGTGCATGGCTGTTCATGCAAAAATATAAAAGAGGCTGTGCTTGATGTTTGGTTGAACTCCAACAAGCACCTGAGCACTTAAGGGACTAAACTGCCTTCTTAGAACTGCAGAAAAGTTGGAGTCCTGGTTTGAAATTCTTCCCCAACCCTCGTCAAAAGGAAACAAGTCTGGGAGTGCCTCAGGAAGAAGGCTAAGCAACTTGGGATTTACTGAGTGAATTTGGAGACTGTGAGTCTAACAGTCATAGTTCAGGTGAAAGACAGATAGGGACCAGCATAGGGAAAGGGGGAGTTTTTAACATTTTTAGCATCTTTTGGGCAGTTCTGGTTATCTGGAATGAGGCTTGTGCTTGTTCACAGTGCTGTCAAACCACCTTCTTTTGTTTTACTATCTTGTTTACACTGTCTTATTTGGACTTAAACAGTCTTTTCAGTTCTGTTAATCATTTAACTGCTGTATCTCTCAGCCATCACAAAACAATGACAACTTAAACTCCTCTTTAATTGCTTCTAAATATTGTTTAGGAGTTATGAAAGGCAGTTTTAGGCTAAGAGGATTGAATTTGATGACTAATGTTAGCATTTGTCAATCCAGTTATGAGACCTGCATGCATGAAAAGGATCTCTTTCCTGAAATACCCTATATGAAGATTTGTACAAAGATAATACGGTTGTTATAAATGGAAAATTAGATAGAAGTTCACATTTGAAATAGTTAACTCAGAAAATACACAAACAGGAGAGAACTGAAATAAGGTTCCCCAGACACAAATAATTCTGCCATTACTTGCCTTGGGAGAGATCGGCCTTACAGCCTAATAATTCTTTTAACAGCTATTACAAGTGTATAGGGGAAATCAGGTAATGATGTGCAGGTCTAGAGCATAGTTTATAAAAGGTTAAAACTGATTTGGATTATTTACCTCTGCACATTATATTTGTCTCCATAGTTCAGACTCCAGTCAGGGCCTTTGTTATTCCTGGTTATTGGGACGAATCTGGGGTTTTTAAAACAGCTGGATAACATGGGTACAAACAGAATTGTAAGCAGTTCTGCAGAGAGCTGTGTGGGAACTTCCCAAGTCTGTGCAGCCTTCAACCCAACACTTTGAGAAGAGAGGCCTGGAAAGAGAGTTGTCCAACACTAAAAATTGTCCTGGGTTGAAACAGGACAGTGAAGAACATGCTGGCAATCAGAAGTGGGAACCCCTGATTTCCAGAGATGCCCTGTTCTGTCTTGTGGCTCTGTAGGTGCTGACTTTAGATAGGGAAGGAACCTAAGGCCGGTCAAGGCTGCCCAGGGACTGTCAGGTCCTGGCAGAGGTGGTCATTAAGCAAAGTAAGGGAGGGACATAATGAGTGTGATTTGTTGCATGCCATCACAAATCACCATATCCTTTTAGAGCTTTGGGCAGGTTTACAGGTAATGTCATGAGAATGCAGTGATAATAGATGGTTTCAGCATTTATAAGGCACTATGTCCCATGAAATACACAATGCCTGGTGAAAAAGCTTTTCTAACAAAGAGCCTTGATTTAATGAAGGAGCAGTAGATTTTCTGGAGTGCCAGTGTGTTCATTTAGCAAACAGATGTGGCACTTACTACGCTCATCTCCCAATCCAGCCATTTGTTATCACGCCTCTGCCAAAGGTTACTTTAAAAAGAACCATAAGAGCACTTCTTGGTCATAAACAGTGGCTGGTGAGGCTGCAATATCTGAAGCCCTTGCAGCTGTTTGCTAAGTGGATGTGTGTCTGAGCTCCAAGGCATTACAGTCTTTCAGGTACTTCTGAATATCTCACCCAAGAGTCCACATGCAACCTTTGTTTTTCATTCTTATCTTGTTTCTCTACAGCATATAGTGATTTGGGGTATTACATTATTAATAAGCTGCACCATGTGGATGAATCAGTGGGAAGTAAAACTCGGAGGGCCTTCCTTTATCTTGCTGCCTTCCCTTTTATGGATGCCATGGTGAGTGCCTGATTCAGAACTGAAATTTAATGTTAATGTTATGTTTTTGTGACCTTAGCTCACAAACTTTGTAACCTGATGGGAAACTGAAGTACCCAGAAGTAAGGTGTGTCCTTGGCAAGCAGCAATTCTGTACGTACCTTGACTCATCTCCTGCTACTTGGAGAAAGCATCTGAGTGGACTTTAAACACCCAGAGATCATGACAAATGTCAAAAACCTCAGCTGCCTTGTCAGAGTTACAGTATGTGCCTGTTGGAAACCACTGGTGATCTTGTGATGAGCTGCACTTGTTGTCTTTATGTGACCTCATTCTGATTTGTGGTGAAAGATTTGAACTGACCATGCATTCCCAGACCTGCAGAGCTGACAAGGAATCAATAATTTCTCAAAGCAAATTTGTCAAAAAGATGTTTCTTACCATCAGTTTTTGCAAGCACAGCTAACCCCAGTATATCTCAAATGCTTGGGCAAGAGAGCCACACATGGCGAGAGCTGCTGCTTCCCAGATCACCCGGCTCATTGGTTGTGGCCTGCACATGAAAATGTGGCAGCTCTCCTTAATGCCTCTACCTCTGTGTAAAACTGGTAAAGGAGAACATTCTTATGCCAATGCCTCCACCACTTTCTCACCACTTTGTCTGCTTGAAACAGTGACTGACAATAAAAAGAAGTTGGATTTCTTTTCCAGACAGGACTCAGTATAAGTCAGTGGGCCAATGAATATTACACTTCAGAAGTGCATCCAGAGGGTGAATTTATTAGATTTACTATGATAATTCATCCTGGGCAGCATCTGATTTGTGAAGGGCTGCTTTCTTGCTAGATGTGCTCAGAAGTGTCTATACAGTCTGTAAATTTATCCCTATTCTCCCTGCCAGCCTGGCAATGAGGGACTCAATGCAGCAGTGCTTTCTCTGCATTAATGGCTTAATGTTTGCCCAGGCTCACACCAGGTACTGCTGCAGGTTGTTTGTGTACAATGTAACAACCAGAAAACAGCATTCTTGGACCTGAAATCATTCACAATATCATAATCACTTCCCAAACTTAGATCTCTGTCTTTTTTTCAGGCATGGACCCATGCTGGGATTCTGCTGAAACACAAGTACAGTTTCCTAGTGGGATGTGCCTCCATCTCCGATGTCATAGCTCAGGTAAAGGCTTCTCATAGAAGTCACTGTTCCCATTGTGTTATGGAGCAGATGCTTTCCTAAACAGGAACTCTCTAGCACAGTGTCTCTCTGTGCCTTCTCTCTCTTCCATAGACACCAGAGGAAGTAATCTTTTGTGCTGCCCTCTGACTGTTCATCATGTGAAGGCTTTTTGCTGGCAGTTGTGGTTTAGGACAGTCTCACTTGACTGGATCAAGTCAGTTCCCAGGGCTGTTTGGCTTAGGGTCATGTCCTGAAGCACTTCCACAGCTCTGTTTCATAATGGCTGAGAAACGAGCTCTGTATGTATGCGTGTACATTTGGGGAAAAGAAAGGTCAGGCAGAAAGACCATGGGCTGCTACCAATCCTGCCTGAGGCTGAGAGAGTTCTTTGTAATAGATCTTTCTCTCTCTGTACATTCTCCTGTACATTCTCCCCAGCACTTTGCACAGTTGCAGTGAAATCCTGAGCTGGAGGTGAAGGCATGATTCTCCAGCTGACCTGTCAGTTTTGCACGTGGTGTCTAATCCAAGGAAATGCAGTGTAAGCTGCCTTCTGAGTACTTGTTACTGTTCCAAAAGGTGAAGGCTCACAAGTGCTCCAGAAGGGGTCTGTGGTGATAATCCCTGGGTGATTCAGAGAAGACAAAGTGTTTTTTGAACTTTCAAAAGGGAGGTGTTAACTACCCTGTTGCTTTGTATTAGGCACACTAAAAAAACAGCATTCATACAAACTGTGTTACTGTGTTGTAGCATTTAAGAACCAATATACAGCCCTCATTTGAAAACATATAAAAATATTAGGAAATTAAGAGTCCCAGCAACTGTAAACAGTGTCTGTACTGCAGTATTACCAGCTGTACGGTGTAATGACTGGAGAAGAAAGAGGATAAAACAGTATGACATCGAAAGAAGTATGAAATCAATGGCACTCAGTTTAATTTTCCATAGCATTTTCCCATTTTACTTCCACTGAACATAAGGAAACCATAAACCAGGTTGAACTGTTCAGTCAGTTGCTACTCTGTATTTGTCAGGTCTGCCCCACTACAGTAGTGCACTAAATCCCCAGAGATAATACCAATTACTGCAAATGACCTTAACCCTCAGGGTCTCCTCTTGTTCCAACGTGACCTACAAAGTTTCCTGACCCTGGGCGTCAGGTCATGCACAGCTAAATACAGAAACAAGTTCTTATTTTGGCCGTGCCCTTTCCACAGCGGGTGGTGAGTGGGGTGCCAGAGTTGTGAAGAATAAGACACCTGTCATCTTCTCTCAACAGAATACTACACAGAGCAAGAGCAAATCCAGAACATGAAAAGTTGTGGCAGTCATAGCCCAGAACTCTACATCTACATATGCACCCTACACAAGGAGTAGGGGCACAGGCCCTACTTTTTCTTGAGTAGCTTGATGTGCACACTCTTTGTGACTGACTTTGCTTCTATTTACTGAAAAGCAATGTTTTGTACGTTTAAAAACCCTTATAAGTGGCCTCAGCAACATTTGCAGAGTGTGGTTTTTCTTAACTACGTGTACAGCTCCAGCAATGAAGGACAGAACGTGCTCCTGAACAAAGTGTATTTTATTTCTTGTAACTCACTTGAATGCCAGCATGTTCTGGCAGGATTGTCCTGATTCTGCTCTCCACACCACCATACACAATTGGCTTTCCAGTTGTGTCCCCCATGCTGAGTCATTTGGAATTTAACAGGCATTTCATCCACTCTATTCTTAACAAAGAGAATAATATTAATCAGTTCCTTTACATTTTATGGATTGAGCATTTAGTCTTAAGAGGTTGAATTATGAACTGTTCATTAGCCCAAAAGTTTCCATTTAATTTACATTAATGTGGCACTCAGCTGAAAAGCAAATAATGAAATAGTGAAATTTCACTTGAAAACGTTGAAAATTAGGTTGACATAAGACTTCCTGCTCCTAAATGTTGAAGTGAATATTTTAAAAATCTGGCTTTTAATTGTCACTACCCTGTGCAAAAAAAACCCAAAAGAGTAGGGCTTAGAAGCTGACCCTAGAAGCATGTCTCCAACCTCATCATGTATCAGAATAGCACATTCTCCTGGGAAGGGTGACTCTCAGCCACATGCTTGCTGCCAGACCTTGCCAGACTTTCATGCCAGCCTTCTCCTATTTATGGGTTCCAGTCTGACACCTGCCCAAACTTCAAGTCCTGTTTCATAGAGTATGAAGTTAACTCTTGTTCTTCCCATTTGTGACCAAATACTGGAGGATCCTGACTAAAGTTTCCATAGATATTGTAGTCATGCAAGTTGTTGCTTAGTAGGAATCAGACAGGAATCAGCCAGGAGGTGTGTTGGCCCTGGAGAAGAACACAGACAAATTGTTAATCACCTGTTTGTTTTCTCTGCAGGTTGTTTTTGTAGCCATTTTGCTTCACAGTCACTTGGAGTGCAGGGAGCCTCTCTTGATCCCAATCTTGTCCTTATACATGGGAGCACTTGTCCGGTGTACCACGCTCTGCCTCGGATACTACAGGAACATACATGATGTTATTCCTGACAGAAGTGGGCCTGAAATGGGGGTATGTCTTCATGCTTGTGGTTTTTGGAACTCAATCATTTTATATGGGCTTTTTTTGTGTTGTAATACTGCATTAAACCACTGTGCATGAAGGGCCTTCTCTCTGTCCTGCCGGAAAAAAACATTTTCAGTTAAAGAGGCTTGGTGGAAATTATTCCAGCAACAGCACATGTGACACAGTGCCTTCCATGGTTTGGATGTATCTGCTGAGAGCGTCTGTACTGAGCTGTAAGACAGCACAGCATGAACTAAGTGAACACCTTAGTTCATATGGAAGAAGATATCAAAATTTCTCTTTTTCTTCAAATGTCATATTGTTTTTCATGGAGCTTTGTCTGGTAGTCAGAAAAAATTATGCAGATAGATACCTTATGCATTATTTATTGAGATCCATGACACATCTTCTTTTGAATCAGTATTGCTACCATGTGTGAAAATATTTTAGGCTCCTCATATTGAAAATGATTGACATGAATGTACCAAACTGACAGTGGATGGGAAAAGCAGAAAACCTTTCTCCATGCTTTTGGTCATGTGCTGCATGCTTTTTTCCCAAACTCACTTCATTTTTTTTTTACCCTGAATTGCAGGGAGAAGCTACCATAAGGAAGATGCTGAGTTTCTGGTGGCCTTTGGCATTAATTTTGGCAACTCAGCGAATAAGTAGGCCCATTGTCAACCTTTTTGTCTCCCGGGACCTAGGTGGCAGTTCTGCAGCCACAGAGGTAAGAAAGGCAGTGCTCTCCATTACTGCAAATGATCATTTCCATGGGCTACCACTGTGCCTCTCTCCTCAGCCAAGCTGACAAGAAAAAATTGTCTTAAGTACTTTTCTGTTTAGTGCTCTTTTTCTGCTTGAAAAGAAGATTGCTTGGACTCTCACCATGAGCCCTTCTGCCAGGTCTACTGGGACCTCAGCCTCAACAAGACTAGTAGAATTTTTTTGCTGAACAGTGCCTGCATCCCAGGTTTTCATGCTCTACACATAGGTACATATAGTCTGGAGCATTTAGATCCCAGAAATTTTAGGACAGTTGACAGTACTCCCATGTCCTACTCTTTCCTGTCATTTGTATTTTATGGCTGTGCAAACTGAAGTGAAACTACTGTTAGCAGTCAGTGCATCACACAGAATGGTGTAGAGACATAAAAAAGCACATATAAAAAAAATTAGCCTCCTGGTTGGCATATGAAATACACCCTGTTTCTGTTGAGGAATTTCAGATTACACTAGTAAGTCTCCTACAGCTGTTGGGAGGCAGATTTCTGATTGTGATGCAGAGCCTTTACCAATGCTCACCACAAGCTGACCCATTTTCCTAAGAAGTCTGGGGGACTTCTGCTGCCAGTTTCATGCGAGGATGTCTAGATGCATATAGCCATAGGATAAACAAAGCTATAAGATACTAAATGAAAAGCAAAGTTCAAAGAACTGCTGTTAATTTGTCATTCATGATACAGTGCATTTCATTCACTGAGGAGGTGCCAGGGACTGCAAATGAACAGCTGTGAGAAAAGAACTTAGGAAACTTAACACTTTTACATATGTGATTCAGGGATCAGCCTATGTGTTAGCAGTGGTCTCCATACAAGGGGAGCCAAAAATTAGCAAAGATCAGTTTTGCATTTCTTGGCGACTTTCAGTTTTAGACACATCACATTTCATGGCTAGCCAGTTCCTTTTTGTTGCTATTAGGATGGCTCCAAATACATATCACAGCTGGGGATTTTCTGGCAGTTTTACATGAATAGTCATGGTCACATCCCAACTTTCTCTGATTTCTGAAATAATTGCCTTTGCAAAGGGAGGTGCTGACAACACAAATAACATCAGTGTCTGGAGCATCTGTATCCGCAGGACTTTTACAGGTCCCCTATTCAATAACAGCAGCAGCTTTCACTGTGGGCAGGGAGTCCCTGTGAAGGACTAGGCTGTAACATGTTCATGAGGATCACAAATCCACTTGCACTGTCCAGCTCCCTCTGCTTTTGTTTCTGATTGCCAGCACAGTTGTGGTGATTGGGCTACCCCTTTGGTGGTGGCTTTCATAGGGGCCTTTCTCATCTGTCAAACCCAGGTGCTAGATATATAGGAAAACTTTCATGCATCTATGTTGGAATAACACTAATTGAGGAAAAACACTGGAAAAAAATCACTACTAAAAACTTAATGCTTTCATCCAAGCAGCATCTAGCATACACAATACGGTAGTGAAATGCTTTTCTCTTTAGCAAGTACTATGTCTTTGCAGTCTTTTTGGATTTAACAATGAAAATAAGCAAAATAGCTTTTATATTCCTTACTCAATTTAACCTAGTTAGGTTTCATATAGATGGAAATTCTGATGAAAATAAAGTAATGGGAGGGTGTGCAATTAAAAAGGGTGCTATCTTAAAATTCCAATTTGTTTTATTTGAACCAATTACTTTTTCAAGGTACATTAAACATTATTAATGCTATTATTAGCAGGAAAGGATCTATATCACTCTCTGTGGATATCACCACGTTCCACTCCATTTTAAACAGGACAGGGAACAAATCAGCTTGCTACATGGTCCTGTGTTTGTATAGATCTTTTAACAAGCAGAGACAGCAGTTACATTTATAATGGGAAAATGGGCTCAGATAATCAAGAAAAGGTGTTTTGAAAGTTTGGGAGTGAAACAGAAACAGCAGTAGTTAAAAAAGGTCTTTCTTAACACTACCATTGCCAGATGTAAAATGAATCAGAAATATGTGGATTGTAACAGATCTGAACCTGCAAACAAAAGGCACCCAAGTACTTTGATTTTTGGAGTTAAGAGAGTCAGGCAGTTCTCAGTACAGATCCATACTTCAGCTCTGAGGACTAGAAAACTTGGAGTGACAGTAGATTTACAAGTAGCCACAGGAAGAGCTCCTAAACGCCCTTCCTGCATGAAGGACATGTATTTGGACTTTTTCTTCAGCAGTCAGAAAAGTCACCAAGGTATTTCATACATTAATATGGGGCAGGGGGGGGAGTTTATGTCTTTGATAAACATCTTGGACTGTACTTACGAGAGAGTAAAAGGGCAGTGAATTGTTAAAATTTCAGGCAGTGAATTGTTTCTTATAATAAAATGTTCACCTGGAATTATTTTTGTCTGGTGTTCATCAATGAGCACCAAAGTGGGGAGAGGTAGATTTTTTTGGTCTTGTAAGTGCCTCCTGCCTCCAAGGAGTCACATTAATGTCCAAACTCAGTCAGCCACTGAGATCCAATGATTTACAGTCTGTCTTACTTGAAGCTATTTTATTTATGGATAACCAAGTAAAATGTATATAAATTGAAATTATCTGTTATGATCCAAAACTGCTGTGAGCGCTAAGGCATTCTGCTGCTCAGCTATCTGTAGGTAAAATATCTCAAGAGCAATATGGAGGAAGGTGTTGGCCTGGTAAGGGGTGCACCACAGCTCAAGTTAACTATTATCTCAGAGTATCAGACTGATGGTGAAATGACGAAGTTGACTTAGGTAACTTCATGGCACAAAAATAGATTCATAAGCTTAAAATGCCAGGCTAAATGATGGCCATTTTGATGGTCTTCCTGAAACAAAAAGCTTCCAGTCGCTGGTTTGGTTTTGCATTTGTGCCAAGGTCAATGTGCTGATACTGGTGGGCAATAGCACCCTATGTTAGCTTCACTGTTGTGTTTGAAGATTTGAAGTTCATGTTTCTCTGTCTCTATCCATAGGCAGTGGCGATTTTGACAGCTACATATCCAGTGGGACACATGCCCTACGGCTGGCTGACAGAGATCAGAGCTGTGTACCCTGCTTTTGACAAGGTGAGTGTCCCTGTTAGGGCTGTAAATACCTCTTGTGGGGTTTTGCATGTGTGGTCCTCCTAGTTCTCTCTCTTTGTTATTCCACTGATAGGTTTTCTTAAAATCAGTTAAAATTAATTGGCTTTCAGAAGCTTCAAGCTGTTATCTGATTTATGATTTTAACCTTAGCTCTGTGTTACAAGGTATTAAGCTGCCTTTTGGATAGATAGGTGCTGTATTTTTAGGGATTAAAAAAGTCCCCACAATGAGGTAGCTACTTAAGTAATGAAGTGATTTCTCACAAAGTGTCATCACTGAATGAGCAAGCTCACGTCTCCGTTCCAGTTTTTGTGGTATCTCTCAAGTGGGTTTGGGTTCATTTGCTTATGTTAATATTTAGCAAAGGGTGTTTCATAGACTGACACTAACACAAATAACAGACATTCTTTTAGTAGTACTGACTTAGCTGACCAAGGCTATGAAGATTTTTGTTGGTAAATCATGTAATTATGTAAGAATGCAAGGACTGTTCCTGGAATTGAGCACAGAGCAAAAATTAATTTTATTTAGTCTCTTTTTTTGCTCTGATTTATGACTGGTACTCACTAGTCCATATGTTAGACAAAGAACTGTCCTCTGACTCTGGAATTCAAATGCCAGATCCATTCCTTCACTTTATTTACCAGTTAGTAACTGAACTTTCTGGTTCCAAATACTCATGAAAAATATGCATGTTTTCTCTGGAATGTGTTTAACTGGAGCAAGCCCTGTTTAATGTCATACAACATATTTCCAAGGAGAATTTAAAACCAACACGAAGTCAAATCAATCATAACCTTCTAACCTGCCTGTGTACAACTAAATTGACCTGTCAGATAAAATCTAGGCTTTCTCAGAGGCCATGCTGCTGAAAAGGAACTGCAGATGCAAACCCAGTGAACAGCAAGATAAAAATAGTTTGGGACAGGAAAATCAGGAGCTGCTAACCTCATTTGATGCAAGCCACAATCAAATGCACTATTGTCAAGCAATAGTAACAGCAATTAAGACTCCTAAATTCAGGTCACATTTAGCTGGTGAAAGATACACTGACAACTGCAGTGGTGACAGGATTAGACCATGATTTGTCTATTTGTTTATTTTGGTTAAATGGCTTCTCACAGGGCTCTTGTGGGACAATGTGAGGAAGAAAATGCTAGGGTAAGGCACAGATGGGTACAGTTTATCTAACTGCTGGAAAAGTACTTACAGGAATTTTAGTTCCATGTTTGAAGAGCAATTTGTAATAAAATGTACAAAATGAGGCAGCAACAGTATAAAGGGTATCTCATCCTGGCAACCATATGTGTAAATGTCTTCACTGTACTTTTCAGACAATAAATACCAAACCTGAAATCCACAGTGGGTTTTTGAACATTGCTGTGAGAACTGCTTTTCCCTCGGTCATGCATCACCTTGTGTCACTGTGCCTTCCAAAAGCTTTGTTTTCATAATATTAGTCTTTCTCAGAAGAGTCCAGATAGAAACACTTTTTTATTTCTGGACCCTGTAAGGTGTCCATTGTGATTTGCAGAAGCCAAAACAGTGTGTTTCATGCAAACTCCCATTTTCTGTATGGGAGTTATTCCAGTTATTGAGGAGGCTGGCAATGCTGATGGCTGTCAGAAGCACACCAACTGATGGGATTTGAGATGCCCCTCTTCAAGATTATTGTCTTCACAAGGGAAATCATTATCTCTCTTCACATTTGTAAGAGAGATGCAGAATCCTACTTCAGTCTTTAATGAGACTTTGTGTCCAAAGCAATCCCATGGCCTAGCAGTTACATTCAGGCTAAGGGTTACCACTAACATTTTGGAAGAGAGCAGGCATATGCTAGTTCTGTGCTCTGTGTGCTGTTTTATATGGTGATAATGCCATTGCTCCTAATGGACCCTGCCACCTGACTCAGTGCAACACCAGTTTTGAGATTTGTGAGTGCTATTTTTCTGATGACTAGATGGGAATTCTTTTTGCTCCATAGTGTTTTGTTCTGAGAACTAAGTAGTGTGGAAGAGTTATGAACAAAGAGTATGTGGTCAAGAGATGGAGCAAAGGGCAGAGTATGGCAAGGGCAAGGATAGCAGCAGTGAGGTACAAACAAATGAGAAAGCTTTTTCCTAGCAGCGCTTTTGGATGGCTTGTTTTGGGTGTGCTTTATTTCCTATTTGTTATTTTAGGCTTGTTAGAAAGTTGAGCCGTGCAGCAAAAAGTTCATTTAAGCAGTGGTGAGTGATGTAAGCAAAGCTAATCCTCATATCTGTGAAAACTAAGAGCAAAGCAAAGTATTTCTTCAGAAACACAATTAATGCATGAAAAAAATGTTTACAGGGAGTTTTCATAACCTGTTCCCAAAAAGGTCAGATGGAGTGACTTCCTCCTTTAGGGTCTGGGTTGCCTACGTCTTCAAACATCCAAACTTCCAAGCAGGTATTTAGGAGGAACATGGGGCTATCTAGATCCAATTGCTGCACTGATGAGAACAAAAGCCTTAAATTGAAAAATTCCATCAAGCACTTGAATGTGTGGAGAATAATGTAGTGTTCACAATGTTCCACTCCCCAAATGTGTCTGCAATAGTTCTATTTCTCCTACGAGTAACTCCATTAGAGAAGGCTGACTCAGTGACAGGTACTGCTGTTCTACCCAAGTTACATCTAGGGTGTATAAATGTACATCTCATGGTACAGGTTTTTTCAGCAGGTGCAAAAACTCGTGTATCTCAAACAGTCCCAGGGCAAATGCAATAGATGACCTAACAGCCTCTTCTTTAAGGGCTCCTAATGGTAACCTCCTTTGATATCCCGTCCTCTCCTTTCACAGACCATTTAGTTGGGTTTTATGCGTTCCCCAAGGGCAATTTTAAATCTTCAGCTTCATTTGCTATATTAGACATTTGGAAGAAGGCTTTTGTTGTTTTAAATAAAACTTTGCTGCCATGTGAGTACAGAGCCCATGTTCAAGGTGGAACATCTAATAGTCCTAATTATGTTCTGTTCATTAAACTGCATTAGTGGAGCCAGCTGTTCCAGAAGCTTTGTTTATATTACCTGCTTGTCTAATTGGATCAGTAAGGATGCTTGCATTCCTGATTTGGTACCAATTTGTGGTAAAAGGGAATAAAATCCAGTTTTTCCTGTGAAAACATGCTACAAACATTAAAATAAGGTTTAAAAAAATCATGTGATGTTTTCTTAGAAAGAGCTACCAACCTTTTTCAAAGCTGAATTTGTTAAATAGGACTTATTCTTTGGAAAAGGAGGGAGATTACTCAGCCTTCAGTGACCATAGCAGCAGTTGCAGTCAGTTTAAGCAGAAAATGTTCTGTAGTGGCACAAAGTACTCAGAAAGCTCTAGGTTATAAAGCAAACAAGCCAAGGCAGACACGGACAGGCACAGACAGTCAGGTCCAGCACATGACCCTGGTGCCAGCAGCTCCTGGTAGTCTGGAGCCAAGTTAATGCCTGCTATCTCTTTCTCTTGCCCTAGAATAACCCCAGCAATAAACTGGTGAACACCAACAGCACCGTCACAGCGACACATATCAAGAAGTTCACTTTCGTTTGCATGGCGTTGTCCTTAACGGTAAGAAACCTTTGTTCATCTCAGTGGTTTTCATCTCAACGAGAGAATTGTCTCTTCTACCTAATGCTAAAAGCACTAGCAGTTTAAGAAAGGTGAGTTGTCTTGTGAAGTTGTGTTGCTTTTATCTGGAGAAGGGACTGTGATCATAGCATTGGAGTAACAAGAAAATCAGCTGTCATTAGCTCAAGCCAGATATTTAAAAGGTACTCCATTTTGTTTTCACTACTTTTCATTTCAAACCAGCCACCCATGCAAAAAGATATCAGAGACGTGATTTTCTTTTCATCTTTTTTTTTTCTTTTTGTTTATTTTTTAAAATAAACAAAACTTCAGGTAACCAATGTGGCAGGAAGACAAAAGACCGCATTTGTGTCACATGCAGTGGGATGGCAGCCTGTCCCTGAGCATTTTTCATTTACTGTGAATGGTGAGAAAGGCAGCATGGGTTGACCCTGCAGTAGCTGCTCCCTGCTGCCTCTCCTGGCACTTGGTTTTCATGTGGGGATACTTTGATGCACATTTGTTCTGTTTGCTCTCAGCTTTGTAACTCAAAGGGTAATCTTGGAGATGGTACTGACACTGACTAAAGGATCTAAATCTGTGCCATTTCATGGGGATGATTTTCAGGGAGAAATTCTGCTGAGCCTGCCATGTTTCAAAATGACCAATTTGCACACATAAATACAGTGCATTTTCTCCAAGAACACTGTTTCTGCAGTCTTCTTAGCAACAAACAGGCAGTTGTGGAAGAAAACTGCAGCTGGTGGGAATCATAGCAAATAATGGAGGATCTGCTCCAGGACCAGGGTAAATCCAATGTCTGTTTCTATAAAGGATGGATTTATATTAGTGCTCAGGGCCAGGACATTGTCTCAACACGGTACCTGCACTAGAAGACAAAAGAAATGGAGAACCTAGAAAATAAGTTTTTCATAGAAGAAGTCCTTCATTACACTAGAAAAGTACTTAGGAAATGTGGCAGTTGTTTTAGGATACAATGCTCAAAGTCCTACAATTAATCTACTCATACCCTAGACAGGTTTGCTGTTTACCCTCAGCATTGCATACTTTCCATGGGGTACCTGGCTGCTTTGGAACTCTCTTCTCCCTACATCCACCAGTTTACTATTGAGTGTGGGAGTGCTGACAGAATTTCTTTCTCCCCTTCATTTTAGTGTAGAACCTTTATGTCTGAGTTGCAAATGGCTTATGCATGAAGAGCTCTGTGCTGTTTCACAGTTGAAAATGAAGCAGTTCAATCCATCCATAGCTGAATTACATTTCTTCTGCTCTTTGTTTCCTATACTTTTTCCCTAAACAGCTACAACTGGCCACCATCAAAGACAGAATTGTATGAACCAATGTGGCATCTCCTCTGTCTTTTAATTTTCTTATGCTTGACCTCTTTTCATGAGGCTTAGAGACAAACAGCTCTTGCTCTAACTTCTGTTTCCTACAGCAAGAAACAGACGTATGCCTCCACTGAATTGGCCATTGTCTGGAGACTTTCCATGAGACCCTAGCTCTTGTTATCTACCATCACATGCCTTAAGGTTTTCTTTTGTGTCCTGTTCCAGACCAAAGTTATGTTCTCTACAGTTGGAGCCTCCCCCAAACTCTGTCAGTGTTGCTACAGACCCACAAAAGGGAAAGCTTTCCCTGTTCTGAATTATTCTGAGAATACTATTTCAATCTCAGAGTTTTCTCTGAACTGACTGTATTCTTAATCTCCCATGATATTTGTCAGGTTACTCTGGTTCCGATAGATTATGAGCTTTTCACATTACCATCACTATCCTCTTCAGAGTAATTTTAAATCACCTCAATTAGCTTTTGTTTTGTGACTTCCTGGGATTTTGCATCCAAAAGTTCTCATTTTACTTTCAAGGGCAGTTCTTTCATGAGATCATCATGAGAGATCTGCCTGCAATGAAATTCCAGAAACACTTTTGAGGTCCATAGCTTTTCCTGTCCCATTTCTATTTTTGCCTGCTTGTGACACATTCTTAGGATTGCTTGTCAACAGGCAGAGCAGAAAAATAGACATGAGCTCTAAAGATCCAGTTGTATTCAAAGGCATGAGCCTGCAAATGCTTCAGCACACAAACTCAGCAGATGTTGGGGTGACTCATGTTAATGTGTGCCACAGGCTCTAAGGAAGTAGACTTCAAATTTGCCTCTGTTGTGGCCAGGTGAGCTCCCATGGCCATTGGTGATAGCTGTGTTTTAATTCAACAAATGGCAGTCAGACTAGTGGCATCACCACTGGTACCATCTTGTTCTTTCAGGTCAGAGGGAAAGGCTCCCAGGCTGATAAGACAAAACAAATCCAGTACTTAGACATGTCATATAAAGGCATTTTCCAGTGGATGATCTGTAGGATTCCAGAAGATGTAAAGATAAAGGAGGTCCGTTAACAACACGAAAAAATAACAGTGAAGCTTTAAGTACAAGCAGCAGCCATACAGGGAAGTGCCTTCCCAATGTAAAACCTTGGGAAACTTTCAATCATCAAAGACATACTATTTCAATAGAACTGGGAGAAAAATGTCCTATCTCCTTCCACAGATCAGTCATGCCTGCATAAGAAGTACTGCAATCCTACTACAGCAAGAGAAACACCTTGTCACTGTTGTTGATAGTGACATTATTAGGTCAGAGTGAAAAAAAAGGCATAGTTTTGTTAAGAAACATAACTTCATGGTTTGTTTCAATCCTCATGGGATCTGAAAGGCCATACCTGAGCCTTTCCAGGCTAGCTTTGCAACATGCACATGTATTCTGTCAAGGATGATCATAAGTACTGTCTCATGGCTTTGAAGCTGCTATTAATGCTAGGGTATTAAAGCTGCTTCAAAAAAATGGGAATTAGTTGTATTGCTCAGTGAAAAATGTGCAGACAAGCTGTTTTATTTAAAGGCTTTAAGTAGAAGCCATTAAACTTCTGATAGGTAAGACAGCTGTTGTGATTAGTCACATTGATGTGGTTTTTGTTGTAAATGGGGATTCCTTCCAAAGCCGTGTTTTGTGACTGTGCAACTGAATGTAAAATTTGTGTAGCGGAGGGAAGGGAGTTTTTTCCGTACAAATAAAGGACCATTCTAATTTTAAAAAGTAAGTTGTGCTTGGTAATTTGCATGCAGTTCAAAGGGTGCCCATAATGCTGGTTGCCAGTATCTGCTACTTCACTGCCAGTAGGCACTTTGGGAAAATGCTTCTTTCCATTTATTAGTAGAGATACTGCTCCAAATGCCAATGCTGCTGCCATTGCAGATCAGGCTGTTGAAGCAGTAAACATTTTGGTTCAATGCTGTTTAGATGGCCCTGCAGATCAGCCCTGAGGTTGCTGCACAGTTGTAAACTAAGGGGAGGCAGAGACTCAAGAGAAAAGTTGTACATCTGTAGCCCATATCCCTTTGGTTGGGGGATGTGTCAGCCTCAGTACACTGCAGAAATGCCAGAGTAATTTGTCTGGGTGCCAATTTACTGCATTTCTCCACTGCAGCAAAGGTTTGCTCTGTCAGGGGAGAGCACTCCCTCATATATGAGCTGTGCATAGAGGGGCAGGCTCTGTGAGGAGCAAGCTACTCAAAGGAACCCTGCCATACAGGGGAGTAATAGCAAACAGGCTCTGCTTTAGCAAGGGGTTTTCTTAGAATATTGGTAATGTCTCTGAGCTTGGATACCAGAGGGCAAAATTCAGGGGTTTTTCCAAGGCAGCCTGTGATGGGGCACAGATACTGCCAAATTGCCTTTCTCTCTCTTTCTGTTTTGCTTTCTTCTTTCTTTTTTTTTTTTTTTTTTTTAATTTTCTCCCCATTTTCCAGCTGAGCTCTTTTTTAAGTCTTCTGTGATGACACAGAAATTGCAGTCAGTTAAGATCCTTTTCCCTGGCTAGTGTTAGCTGCTGGCAGCCACGTGATAAGTGTTTGGTCATCTGCCTCTGAACTGCAAGGCTTTGCAGGCTGATTTCACGTCAGTAGTTAGTGCTGCTGTACAAAAGTAAGAGAGGTCTCCTTTGTGAGGGCTCAGGCTGCTTTCCTGCAGCCACTGCAGCTGTGTCTGTGTGGCCACAGCCGTGCCCTCACACATGTCTGCATGTGAGGCCGTGTGCCCTGAGCTGAGAGCCATCGATTGTGCAGGCAGCACTGGGAAAGTGGGACAGTAGTAACATTCACATCTCAGAATCATGCTGGAGGGCAAGTCATGTCTTAGTTAACACAAGGTCTGAGCACCCTCATTTTAGTAGCTGCTGCTGGGGTAGAAGCACGGCCAGCTCAGCGTGGCTGGCAGCAGGTCACTGCATGGGGAACATACAGAGTGCTGCTCGGAGAAAGCAGCTGCTCAGAGAGCACTGTGAAAGCTCCCTAGCTCTCCATCACTGACAGTGACCCTGAATAGTCTGCAATTACTTGTTCATTTACAGCAGGGAAGGAGCAATCAGTTCTTACAGCAGTAGTTCGAGAACTGTGCAGTTTCGTTCAGCTTTGAGTTCCAGCAGCATCAGCTGCGACAGGCCACAGTGGTTTTTGGGATACAGTTCCAAACACCAGCTCCTGTTGCTGCATGGTTCATGTTAGCTGCAGTGTCGGCAAGACACGTGGCTGGTTATCTTCATATTCTCTAGTGTTCTGTGGATTACAACAGGTTTTCCCTTCCCACTAAGACAGGCTCAAGGTGCCAGGGTGACATGCTGTGTGCACCACACCATGTTCATCCATCTGTCACCAAGCTAATGTACAGCAGGAGAGCTGCACGGTACCTCGAAGTTTTAACATGCGTGCTACTAGAAACAGCTCAAAGCTCTTTCCAGCTATTTAAAAGGAATTTCAATCCTGCTTTGCTTTTTTTTAAAATGAACATGTGGTTATGGACAACTGGGGAAGGTAGCAGTTTTCATGAATAAACAGACTGATTAAAGGGAGAAGCTAATTGTATAGAATACTGTTTTATATTTAATTAGTTAACACTGCTTAAGAAACAAAATCCAGATGTTCAGT